CTATTATTTCAATGTTTCTATTCTTGTTATTTATATAATTTTGTTCAATTTTTTTTTTATTACAAAATTAAATTTAATAAAAAAAGTATATAAAGTTCGTATTATATATTATAAATTATAATAAAAATAAACATACAATATTACAATAGAAGAATTCTAAAACTTAAAAACTAAAACATGTCAAATAATTCTCTAAAATTAAATATGTTAAATAATTGCTTGTTGATAAAATAATTGATAAATAAATAAAAAGAATATACATTAAATAAATACATATACTAATATGGATAAGGGGTTTTCAAAAATTTAAAAGTAGATAAGTATATTTTCAGTTGAAAAAATGAGTTTTTTAAGATTTTGTTTAAAAGAATCAAAATTACATTTTTGAGAAAAATCTTAAGAAGTATTTAGAACTATACTATTCCATAAAAATGGTCTGCGAAATGAAATAAAAAATTTTCCAAAATTAGTTTGAGTTTTTATTATTATTATTTTTATTATTATTATTATTTTCAATGTTTTTGCTCTTGTTATTAATATAATTTTGTTCAATTTCTTTTTATTACAAAATTAAATTTAATAAAAAAATATATAAAGTTCGTAATATATTATTATAAGCATATCGCAAGTTGAATTTTGAAATTCAATTTGCGGTATGCTTTAATTTAGAATGAATACTTAATAAAAGTCGAGGTAATAAATAGTACTGAAATAAACACCGACAATTTTAAATGTTTTGTTTATTTTGGTACGAAAAAAGTTAATTTCTCGTTATCAGTATTCTTTCGAAAGAACTTTACAAAAACTATCTTTTAACAACTCTAATTAAAACACCCTGCGGCCGTTTGTGAAACATCTGGTTAAAGGTTATTAAGAGGTCTTGGTTATTTGGATATGACTTTGATTAAATTATTGAATCTATTTTAAATAACAAAAACAACAATTTGAAAAATGAAGTTTTTACTCATAGTTGTTGAAAAAACTTTATCTTGGCTTCATGATATTATACATTTATAATCAAAAGTTAGTAGGACCGTTGGCCTGATTTACAAAGTCTACCTATATGTAAACACGAATTGTCTGAAATTAATATACTTTTTTATTTTATTTTTTTAACACCTTTAATTCCAACAAGGTTGCAAGCAATCACTATTAGAGTTGGAAGTTACTGGAAGAGATAAGATTTTATAAAGCAAGATAACTATCAACAGACGACTTAAAAGATAGCAAATTATATGAATCAGGACTGATGTTCCAGGAAAAAAAACTAGACGAACAAGAATTTTCGAATTATTTAGAAACAGTTACATTAAAAGATTAAACTTAATTTAATAAGGAGTAACACCTAGAGGTGTGCCGGAACTAGTATATACTAGGTCCCCTATTCCGGGTATCTGGTGGTAAACACTGGGTAACCGGCACCGAGTCCATTAAAAAAGAGTAAAAATAAAAAAAATTTTAAACAAATAAAAAATAATTCAGACACTTTTTTGGTGTATTTTATTTTGATTTCTTTTATAATTTTTTGTTTATGACAAATTTATCTATTTATTCTTATCATCATCTAAAAAATACAGGTAAAAAATAAAGGGCATAAAACTAATAGTTTATACTCTAAGTTGAAATTCTAATTTAGATTCTTCTTGGAAGGCTTTCTTCCATCAAATTTTTGAATAACATTCTTTGTTATCTGATGTTCCAGAATTCAAAGGACTGGTTTAAAATTTCCACTATATTATCTTCGACGTCATTATTTTCTACGTCATCGTTATGACATTTGATAATGATTTTTTCCCCCTTAATCAAAGACTGAATAAAGCTTAGCTCCAGACGGTTGCAAACTTTCATTACTTCGTTGATAAAGCAACTGCTTTATCAACGAAGTTGATATCCTTATTAAATATCTGTTATTTGATTTAAAATCAAGGAAAAACAAGTCGAATTGCTCAGTAATCTGATAAACAGATTCAATTTGTTTCGAACGAGGATGGTAGAAAAGTCATCTTTTTTAAAGTAGGAATGCAGATAGTTTTGAAAAATGAAAAACGTTATCAGCATTTGAAATAATTAAAAAGTAGACAATCAAGTAACTTTTCCGACAAAAATTAATTGAAAACTTCATTTGAATAGAATTTAGATTTTTTAAAAAACAGCTAAAAAATAATTAAAACCACTCTAAAACTATGCAATACTGCTTTGTTTTCAGCAGCCGTGGTAGATTGCTCGCCTCAGAAACAAGAGGGAGCACGCCACATCTCGTCTCTGAGGTGGCACGCCCCACCCCCTACATTTTTTGTGTAGACCTTTCTTTTTTGAAAATTTTTATAAAGAATCGAGGAGTTTCTTTCAAAATGCGTTAGTGTGCCCCTCACTTTAAAAACTGTGTCGTCGGCCCTGCGAAAACCATTTATTTTTCGTTCGACTTCCTAAAAAACTTCACGGAAAAAAAATTTAATTGAAAAATCGGTCTATATTGGTAAAAAGTTCGTTGATTTAAAAGTTTATTAATTTGCGAGGTTAGAATTATTTTGTATATCTCCGCATTTTTTTGTTTCAAGATAAAACGATTTAAAAAATAAAAACTTTAGGAGACGGCATATAAAAAGATTTTTATTACTTATGTTTTCTCCGAAACTTTTTTGATTTTAACTTAGGTTTTAATATAGTAGAAAAACATTATTTTGAGGTACATTACACAATTAATAACTCATTTTTTTCAAAAAGTTGAGATAGAACAAAATAATTCTAACCTCGCGAATTGTAAACGATCATTTATCAAAAACCTTATTTATAAACGACCTACGCAAAGTAGTAAACTTTCTTTCTCTAACCAGTAAAAGAAGAAATTACTTGTTTTTATTTCTTTCGTATTCTCATATTATTTTGTTTCTTTTTACGGTTTTTACATCTGTAGAAATCAGTTTTCATTTTTGCAATATTATTTGCTATCAACGTTTTGCAATATATTATAGCAAAAGTATATTCGAAAACGTAATTTAAGCGAGATACGTCTAGATTTAGTACATAGGAGCTATTATCTTCTGAAACTATCAAGAAGTTCATTTGTTGAAGCACTATTTTTTATCTGGTTAATAATATTTCAACACAGTTTAAAGAAACACTAACAAAAAATTTGTTTTACTATTTTTATTATTTATTAGTTGCAGCACTTAAAGGCTATGTCTATTAAAAATATTTTTAATGATACCCTGTGCCGGGTACATCTACAAAATGGCCAATTCCGGGTCCCCGATAAAACCGCCGAATTACCGGGTACCCAGCGCATCTCTAGTATGAATTTTAGTAGATGGCACAACCTCTTTAGAACAGTACCTATTATATTATATATAAGAAAGAGAAAGAAAAGCAACATTACGACAAGGTTAGGGGTTGGCTGCAAGAACAAATATGTTAACAGTACGCTGACACGGGTTGTCTAAAAGAGAAAGCGCATCATTGGAAGATTTGCCCCACATGTAGAGTGTGGCAAGCGAGAAGAGATGCAACCTTAGCAGATACTAACTTTGCAACCAATTTAATAAATTGTTTGCAAGAAAGATCGGAAGTAAGAGTTTATTCTAGAAGATGAAGGGTAGAGTACTCATCGAGCACATTACCATTCATAAATATAGGATGATCTAAATTATTTCAATGACAATTTGCTAAAAAAAATTTAATTTTATCCGAATTAAAGTTCACCAACCACTGACAGCCCCGTGCTGTAGCAAAAGTGAGATCCTTTTCAGCTAAAATATTCCCTCAACGCAATCAAAGAGTGTTGGTTTCTTATCAAGACAAGAGTAAATAGCAGTATCATCAACGAACAATGCCACCTTAGATGTGAGAATTTCTAAGAGATTGTTTAATGTAAATTAAAAAAAGTATAGAGCTAAAGATAGAACCTTAAGAAACCTTTAAAGCTACAGGGTATGAAGAAGACTGATGTCCATCTAAAACAACTTTTATACTACGATTGGTAAGGAAGGATTCAATAATCTGAATGATGTTAGCTGATACACCGTAAAAAGAGAGCTTACGGAAAAGACCAGCATGTCAAACGTTAACAAAGGGCTATAGAAACGTTGAGAGTGATAGCCTTTGCCTCTCCACATTCTAATGCACGATAAAAATCAGTAATAACTGTTAACAAATCAGCAGTAGAACGAGAAGATCAAAGACCATATTATCAGAAATTAAGTTATTAGATTAAAGATTAAGTGTTTATTACACGATCCATGTGCAACATAGTACTCTGATATTTTACAGCTGTTGATGGAATCAGTCTCTCTAAAGGCTACTCAGAGTTCAGGAAACCTTACTTTTAGCCGGTCTCACAATCATAAAACTGAGTTTTAGAGCTGTACCCTCATAAGGACACAATAGAATAGTTACCTAGTCATAAAAGAAGATACACAAACAAAACCTATGCATGGAGTCAAAAAGATCAACATCCTAAACTGGAAACAATATATTGTAACTACATCTACGCCAGTCGAATAGATGAGGAAGGGGTGCAAGGCTGGTCAACAGATAATCTGTTTACCCCTTAAGGGTTTGCATAGGAGGCCTTCTACAAGACAGAAGCCGGTTTTTTAGTTTATTACATTTATAACAATGTGTCCAGTGAAACAAAGAAATTTGTGTTACTTCACATTGTTACAATACATTTGTTAATACACTTAATACACTTTTGCCCAGTGAAACAAATTTCTTTGTTTCACTTTGTTTCAACTCGTTTCACTTTGTTTCAACAAATTTCTTTGTTTCACTGGCCAGAAATGAAACATATTTCTAAATTCATTTAAAATTTAAGCAAGTTAAAAGCTTAACGCAGCAACAATTTCTTCAAAATGTTTGATTTGATTAAGAATGTATAACTTTTTAAATCTAAAAATAATTAATTTAGCAGGAAATTATAAGTCTGATAATTTTTCATTCGCTGTTCCGAAATAATTTAAACGCAGGAAAAACCAATACAAAAATATTAAAAAAAACATTTCTTAATTTGTAATAAAAAATATTACCAAAAACATCTAGCTACTCAAAATATTACAAATTATTTTAGCGAATTTAAGTTCTGTCGAATATAAGCGGTCTCGGAGTAGCAAGAACATCCTGTTGATGCGTATAAAACGAAAAGTTAAAGAAAAAAAATTGCAATTATATTCATATCAGAAAAACACATTTTATTAGTTATTTGTACTAAAGATGCGAACTACGTATTTTTTATATCAGAGAATAACCAATTAACCTTTTTCCATAAAGCAATGCCTTATGGTATTTGTATGTACAGAAACATTAAAAACTTACGATTCATAGTTTTTTTAGTTTTTCATTATTTCGTGGCTTGCTCACACATGGATAATAGTTTTCTCTCATAATTAATTACATTTACGCCAAAATCTTATTATCTCCGCAGGAGAATAACTGCATTGTAATATAAACAAATATTTCAACGTAGTTGTAGTTGAATTTCGTTAGAGAAGCTTGTTTGAAATATATTTTACAAGTATACATAAGTAAAAGAATATATAATTAAATCTATAAATATTCCTGCTGGATCCAGCTTTTTAAAAAGCCCTTAGCATTCCACTAAATACAACATTTTGTATAATTACAAACAAGGAATTTAATAGCAATGAAAAAAAATAATCTCTAAAGATGTAATTTAATGGTCAAAAGACAATTTCTCTGTTTTCGATAGCCCATCAACATATATTTACTTTTATAGTATCAGACTATATTTCGAATGAGTTGCTAAACATAAAATAGCTGGTTATCAGTTATTTAAAGAGAACTATGTAAAATAAATTAGAGTTAAACCAAATAATTTATTATATAGAATTAAACCAAGGAATGACAATCGCTGTGTTAGTTATTGAAATTAAATTTGGCCAAAATCATTTTGTGAAATATTTACTAACGAGTATATGAAAAAATGTTGGAAAGTTTAAGCCTAGTTATAATGGAAAAATCTCTACACTGTCTGGGTCATTTAATAAAAACTAATTTGACTGAGGAAAATTAAAGCTTGCCATAATGTTAATCAATTTTATGAAAATAATTCAAATTAAATCAGAAACTAAAGATCAATAGAAAAACAAAAATGGATTGAAGAACAAAATAAAAAACATACTGCATCAAGTTTTGGCACAGTTATAAACCGTAAAAATAATATTCCTCCAACTTCATTGTTAAAAAAGCTTATAAGAAACGGTGATAGTAGTTTACAATCACATGCTTGTTAGTGGAGTATTGAAAATGAAGATATTGCTCATGAAAAGTTTAAAGTAAAAGTTAACAGTGATGCTAAAAAATGTGATCTTGTTACAAATCCTAAATGCAATGGCTAGTTCTAGCCCCTGATGGGTTTTGTATTAACTAAGACAGCTGCAAAATAATTGAAGTAACGTGCTCTTTTTTAAAAAGAAATCTTTGTGTACATAAAGCTTGAACCAATAAAACTTTTTGTATGGAAATAGTAGTAGACAACAAAAACTAAAAATCAAACAGGTAGTTTTACTAATGTCAAGGTATCAAAGCCTTTACAGAAAAGAGCTAAATTGACTTTGTTCTATAATAAAATGAAGACTTTTTTTGTGTGCAATCAATTAAATTTGAAAATGAACTGGTTCACTAGATTTTACTTTGTTTAAATACATTTTATTTTCAGTTATAATTAAAAAAATATTTGAAAGGAAGTAAAAGTAAGTAAAAATTATTATAAGAAATTAAATATTTTTTTATTCTCCAATATTTTCTGTTGGGAATTGCATAAAACAATTAATTTTTATGCTTTAGTTACTGAAGCATTTAGGTGCGAAACATGCAAAATCCCGATTTATTTTTTTTTGTTTGTTTTTTAGTTGAAAAACATTGTTTGGTATAGTTGTTGTTATCTTTTCTTCAAAGACTTATATAGTGCAAATTTTACTCCAATAATAAAGTTTTTAAAATTTAAAAGGTGTGAAATAAAATACACAAAAGTCTTTTGGGACAATCTCAGTTCTTTCAATATTTGACATTTTACTCGACTTATTTTTGTTGTTTACTTACGCGTACATACAAATACCAAAATGCATTGCTTTATGGGGAAAGGTCAATTGTAAAAGTGTATTGTCTTTTGTTTGTATTATTACATCATAGCGTGATCTAATTAATTTCTATGCAATTCAGGGATTTCATTTTCTTTCGTCAGACCTTAATTTCGTAAAATGAGATATATTCGTGATGATTTTCAACGCGTCATATACAATATATAGATATTCAACGCGTCAAATATACCCATAAAAAATATTTGTATTTAAAGTTAAAAAACGTACTAAAAAAATTTAGATAATTACAATTCTTTCGCAGATAATAACTACTAATAAATTCTTTTACTAATAAATATATATTTTACTAATAAATAAAATTTTACTAATAAATTAACTACTAATAAATTTTTCATATTTTGTAGATAATTGCAGCCATTATATCTTCTTTGGGACCATATTTAAAAAGACTGCGCAAATATTTATTTTTCATGACAATTTTATCCGGTAGATTTAAAATAATCTAAATTTTAAAGGGTTGAAAAGAATAAAAATCATTCAGGTGTGTGAGAAAATGACGCTAAAAAAAATAAAATCTCTGAAATATACATGTATGTTAATTAGGCACTTTGATGTACAGAATCACTAATGGTAACACTAACACTATACAATATAGCGTACAATTTAATACAACTAATAACAAAACTTTGTATTCTGAAAAAGTAAATAAAAAGTAAATATATGTATAGGCAGTTAATTCAAAATGGTCGAATGCCGACCGTAACTCCAAGGGCTGATATATACGGCAGTATATATGTATAGAATTTATTATTATTTTAAACAGTATGTATATAATACATATAATATATATGTATTACATATTATATTAGATTATATAAATACAGCATTACTTTGTTTATATATATATATATATATATATATATATATATATATATATATATATATATATATATTTACATTGTATTATATAAGAGAAGTGAAATTTTAATGGTGCTTAATTGCAAAAATAAAAATTTTGAATTTATTACAAAATCAATTATTTATAAACTTAAATCTAACATCTATTTAAATATTAGATCTAATAATAAATACTTGGTCTAAACAAGAGATTGAGAAAATGAAAATTTCTGTTGTTGTGAGCCTATAAATAGTCAATTTCGTCGTCGATTTCTCAAAATCAGTTTATTCACGTTTTAAAAGTTCACTTCTCGTATAATACAAAAGCAAACACCAAATAAATAGAAAAATGAAAAGATATTTTTGAATTAATTTAAACATGCCAGTGCCGAGGTTCATTGGTATACCCATAATAATACATTCGCTTACACCTGAATTAAAATGTTACATATACATATACATATACATATATATATATATATATATATATATATATATATATATATATATATATATATATATATATATATATATATATATATATATATATATATATATATATATATATATATATATATATATTATAAAAATATATTTGTAGAATATAAAAGAAAGTTTTATTTTGAACATATATATTTAACAATATATATGTAGAAAATTAAATTTTCAAACTTCCAATTATCAGGTTAAATACAATATATATATATATATATATATATATATATATATATATATATATATATATATATATATATATATATATATATATATATATATGAGAAAAATTTAGGGCTTTTTTGTTCCCAGCCTCTAATCATCGCAAATTTTTGCAAAGCCTCATTATTTGATGTAAGTATAAAAATATGTTTGGAGTTTGCTCCATGTCTAGAAGTTACCTCGAACAACAAAAAAATCTGTCTACGCCTTTGTTAGAGAAGTATATTAAAAATTGTTTTTATGTGCCTTTTAAATTGTAGTACTAACAGTCATTGCAAAATATTACAAGTAAACAATTTTGCCCTAGAAAAGAACTAAAATTTTTAGCTTATCTCAAAATAATTTTTAAAGAAGTCTTTTTAAGACTGTTGTTTAAAATGTTTGTTTCTTTTGAATATTTTTTAGTAACATCTTTTTTCAATCATTTCAAAATGAAACTTTTAAAAATAAAGTTTTTTTTAAAACTTTTTCACTTTTGTGAATCTCTTTTTAGAAAGCCTTTGTTAGTCATTATCATACACCTTATCCAAGCAATAATTTTTTTCCACCTTTTTCCAGACACTGCTCTAAAGAGCTGGCATTTCTTGTGCCATCTAATAAAATTCGTTCTCTTATTACTCGTCATTCAATAAAGTCTTATCCTTTTACTGTGACTGTTGCTAAGTGCTCCCAAAATTTAGTTTTATTCCTTGAACATCAGTTCTTTGGAATTCGCTTCCTTCATCTTGCTTACCTAATTCATATAATTTGCAATCTTTTAAGTAATTTGTCAATTGTTAACATGCTCTATAAACTTCAACTTGTCTATTTCAGTAACTTCCAACTCTAATAGTGGTGCTTGCAGCCTTGTTAGAAGTGATGATGATCTTTTAAACAGACAACTTTTAAAAGAAAATTCTTTAGTCGGCCCCTAACAACTCTGGCCCCCCCCCTGCATCTGCAAACCTTTTACAACGCACCTGATATATATATATATATATATATATATATATATATATATATATATATATATATATATATATATATATATATATATATATATATATATATATTACTGTAAACTTATGACTGTAGTAAATTTAGATGTCCCTAGCAAGCTAACAATAATGAACATTTTGTTAAAAAAATATTAACATTAAGATTTAAAAAATTTTGCTGACCATTTATTGCATCTTTCTTTCCGTAATAGGAGGCATCAAATAAATGATCTGCAGTTCTTTCAAACTATAACCAAGGTCAAAAATTCAAATTATACTAGTTTATATTTAAAATCAATTACATTTTAAATCAATTTTTGAACTCATTTTAAAAAATTAATACCGATGCTAACATAAGAACACTTTCTTTCATTTTTGCAAGCCCAAACCTTGTTATACCAAGAACTTCACCCTAAAAAAAAATTTATTTGTAAAATTTTTTAGCTTTTTCTCTAAACCATAATTTATATAACATAATTATGATAAAGATATGAAAATATAATATAATTATGATGCAAAATAAATTATTAATATATACCGTAAAACTCCATAATTCCATATAACCTTAATTTTGATGGTTTTAATAAAAAGGTTCAAAACTCTTATTATAACAAATTCATTAAATATTTTTTTAAATTAATATATGTCTAAAGAAGACAAATCGAACAATATATAAAAAGAAATAATAATAAAAATTATAATTTCAAATTATATCTTGAAAAATTTCAATTTGAAATCTATCATAACTAAATTAACAAAAAAATAGGAAAAAAATAACTTAGATTTGCAAGGAAATTATTAAAAAAGTAACTCAAAGTAATCTTTATATACACATAGAAAAAAGAAGAAGAAAAAATTAGCGAAAAAAGTAACAAAATAAATAAACAACTAAATTTGTAAAAACGAAATTTAAATTTTACAAAGATTTTTAAGCACACAAGCATTGTTAAAAGTTTACCAAATATGAAGTAGTTTACTAAATAAGATGATAGTGCCAGTAAATAAGGCATTACTCTATCAAATAATTTGAACTTTTCATTGTTTAATTTTATTTGGATCTAAATAAAAATGTTCATTGAATTGTTCAAAATAAACTCGTACTTTTTACAAGTCTTTTTAACTGCTCTTCTTTTGTAAACTTTTCATACACACATACATACTTAAAAATAGTGCAATATAAATAGTTGTTTTTTTCTGTAAATTCTTGAATTATAAAGTCTTGAATTATAAATTCTTTTATAGACAAGAAAAGAATCTTGAAAATTAATATACTACATAATTCATCACTTCCAAAATAAAGCCATGTAATGCTACACTGTGGTGCTATTACATCAGTAATGCTACACTGATATAAAATTTGATACATGCTCATGCGCTTTTTTACACATAACAGAGACTTTTTTACAGATAACTATAGATAACAGAGACTTTGTCTCAACCACTCCTTGAGCTAAAATATGAAAGTTAATAACTTGCTGGCCGAGGAAGTCATAAAGTAGAAAATTGAGATTCATTAAAGAGAGAAAATCATACATTTCATGTTCATATAATGAAAGACTAAATGATACAGAAAATCAACAATAAAATCATATTTCCAGTATTAAAATCAACAATGCTGCATTCTGTATTTACATCAGAACTAATAATGGGTTTACAAATTTCTTTGTTATAATAATTATACATATTATTTGGATCTATATTAATAATATTTTCATTCTTTTCGGCAATAAAATCTACAAGATGTAAACTTTTTTGTTTAAAAATATAATTCCAAAAGCTTTATTTTTCTTTTATCCTTTTTTCCAAGTTTGTCATCAAATTTTTAGTTGTAAATTACACCAGCTGGTAAACGTTCAAGGTAACAAGAATCTGATGATAATAAATCCTAATAACATTGTTTTGTTGTTCTTTTATACACATTTTCTTGTTTATTGGTATTAAGTTTCTTTGCATTTTGTATTGTTTGTCCGCATTTTAATTTTATATAAGTGTTTAAAACAGCTTTTTTGTTTATGACACGCTGCTTTAATTTGCTTCGTTGACAAGTTTATGATGTTAACTTTTATGATGTAAAGTTTATGATGTAAACTTTACAATTAAGGACATTGAATAATGATAAGGATTATCATTATTCAATGTCCTTAATTCAACAATTAAAATTAAGTTAT